TTTAATCTTATCATAAAATCTTAAGTTTAATTCCATCATAAACACCTCAAACTCTAATCTTGACTCTACCCCCAACCAAGCCTACACTACCACCACCAGCTTTAGCAACCACCTCTAACTCCGACCAAGTACCATCCATCCTTACCCTGTCCCCACCATCTCTAACCCTCGTTATCCTTCCCCACACCCTAGACCCTCTCTATCCTTGTTTGGCAAAGGCTAAAATTATACTTTTTAAGCTAAATTCACAAAAATACAAAATTAATTAAAATAACCAATAAAACAAAATATCATATCAAACTTGAGTATCTCTAACGGTAATAAACATTTTACCTATCTAAGCATTACTATAAAGTATACATTTTATTTTGTCTATCAACTGTTTCATGTTTTTATTCCAACCATACTCTTTATTTTAACTATTCATCTAAATAATATTAATTTCATAAAATGTCACATCAGCAACAATGATAGAGGGAAATGATCCTAACAATTAAATACATTTTACCTAATCTTGAAGGCTAGCTACATATAACTAGTGAATGTGAGTTGAGCTAAAATGCCTAATTATATGCCTAGTGTATTGGAGTAGAAAAAAAGTGAGTCATACTAAGCATTTTGCCTAACAAGCACTAATCATTTCACTTTTTATTTCATAAACATCATATCTAACTACAAAAAAATTCAATCATCTTTGTAAATATAAAAATTTTAACCTACTAAAATAGTCAAAAGATCAAACCACTCCATGAAAATCCAATCATCTCCACTATTTTTTTAATATATTTTTTTATAAAAAATTAAAAAATACATATATTTATAACATTTCAAACCCCTTCATAATTCGCTTGACACATTTATATATACGTACGTGATATCTCACACCTATAAATACAAATTTTATTTCATACAAGTAGCTTCAATGAGTGAAATTTTCGGCATTCATATGCTTTCATTAGAAGTTAATATTTTGGTAGGAAATAAAAAAATTGCAAACCAGGGCCCACCATGCGGAAGGGGTAGGGTAAGTAAGGTGCAGCGAACGAGCAAGATCTTTTAAAATTTTTATTTCTTTTAATTTTTAAAGCGGTACATTATGTGATTGAAATTTAATTACAAATCATATTAATTTTTTAACATTAAATTTTAACTACATAATATATCACTTTAAAATTTTTTTTTAAAAAAACGCTATAAAATCCTGGTGACAGCGAACATGGGAGGAGAGGCCGTCTGTTAATCGTACGGCTCCTACGGTCAACGTACAGCTTTTTGCGTGAGATGAGACCATACGTCATCGGCGCCACGTGAATTGAATTGAGATGCCACGTGGCACGTGGAGCAATAACGGAGCACAAACTGGCGGGTTGGTCGCCGATTCCCTCGCCGCTGCCCATTACAGGTGAGTTGGTCATGTATAGGACTACTACATTTCTATAAAATTAATTTACAAACCTGTTTAGTTTTAATTTTTTTAATTCATTTTTTTAAATTAATTTTTTTTATATTTTTATTTTTAGTGAATATTTTTATAATTTTAATTTTTTTTATTATTTTATATACACTTTACTTAAATATATCTAAAAAGTAAAATATTTATAAAAAAATCAATGAACACACAAAAATACAAAAAATATATTGAATTTTTATTTTTCTAATGTTTTTAGTTTTTATTGAATTTTAAAAAAAATTGTAAATATTATCCTTTTTAAGTGTATTTATACTATGTGTATCTAAAATTTAAAAAAATTACTTAAAATATTTTAAAAATTCAATAAAAGCAAAAAAATAGGGAAATTTTTTTAAAATTTTTTTAAAAAGTGAATCCAGAGTTTCAAAACCAAACAAGCTAATTAGTATTCAATATTAAAAATTAGATTTAATTTTAAAATTCAGTGAAGTGGCAATAAATTAGGATATCAAAGACAATAATCTCTCATATTTTCTTTAATCATCAACCAATCATATTATTTATACATCATCAAAAAATGAGTCTAAAAAGTGAATTTATATATCATTTTTCTTAATTTAATTTAATAGCATATGTTAGTATTATATTAATTTGAGTATGGTTAACATATTTCTTTAAAAGGATTGGTTTCTCTTTAGTCCTTTATCAAATTGGAGAGGTGATGTCCGGCCCAGTACACTCACTTTTGAATCTCGTTTTGATAATTCAAATCGTTCACATTCACTTTTGAATCTCGTTTTGATAATTCAAATCGTTCACATTCGAGTATATCATCCCTACAAAATATTAAGTCAATCAGATTACGGTAACCACATAATCAAATCATTTTTTGTATATATAAAAAAAAATTAATAAATAATAAAAAAATAAACGATTCATATAAAATTGATCGCAAGACTAGCCCAATAGACCAGACTAAACTGCCTAATTTGATAAAGAAGTGGAGACAATCCAGTCCCATCCTTAAAATAAATGTTAAACAGAAAGTATTATACACTATTTACTCATTCACTTTCATGCAAAGTGTCATAAAGGTGCACACTAATAAAATTTTATTAATTTAGTAAATATTATCACTCATATTTATATCTGCACATAGTAAAACGTGCTCGACTTCTCTAGATCGACCGGAACGGATTCGAACAGGCTGGAGTTACATTATATGGTTATGTTTGTTTGGGTATTTAGAAAGGGAAATTTGATTAATAGTATGTGGGATTCTTTTAAATAGTGTATTTAAATAGTGTTTAGTTTGGGTATGGGTGTGGGGATTAATTATTTCCTTAGATTAATAATCCCCCCATATGGTAAGACTAACAAAATCATGAAAAGTTTGAAATTAGAAATTGAGTGAAGGGATTAATGAATTTTTAAATGATTTTTAAGCAAAAATATATATTTTTTAGATCAATTTTTTTTATAATATTAAAAAATATTAATTTTATATATTAATACTATTTATAGTATTACTAATCTGATAGTGTACAAAAAAAGAACTCTTTGTTCTACATCTCTAATTTAATACTACCACACTAAGGCTAAGTTTGGGAAGACTAAATAAGTGCACTTTTTGTCTTTTTAGACTAAAAAATTGAGGTTGAAAATATGGATGTTTTGGGTTAACTTTTTGACTTTTTATGAAAAAATATGTATTAAAAAATTGTAAAAATTGGTTTGTAGGGGAAAATTAAGATTGGGAATTGTGCAGCCGTAATTGTTGACTTTTGGTGAATAGTGTTAACTTTTTAACTTTTTAAGTAACTTTTTGACTTTTTAACTTTTTTGGAACATCCCAAACTTAGCCTAATAATCTTCTCATTCAATCCTATCGTAATCATGATCCCCTTCATCCTATGGAACTAAACAAACGTGGCCTATAGTAAAACATGTATATCATTTGTTGCCCGACTCAGCCCAATATTGAATCTAGGCCTTAGTTGGGCAGTTTGGTATCGTTTGGAAAGTGGGTTGTCTTTTTAACTTTTTTAGTTATTTTGGCTTGGGTTAAAAAGTTTGGTTTGAGAAGGATTTTTTGGTTTTTTTGACTTTTTTTGTGAGAGAAGAGTGTAATGATTATGAATTGACTTTGATATTTTGTTTGTTGTGGCTAAAATAGCTTATTTTGTCTTTTGTAGCTAAAATAGCCAAAACCATCTTCCCAAACAGGACCTTTGTTATTTTAATTAGCTATTTGACTTTTTTATTATTTTAGCCTGTCTAAAAAAATTGTGTTTGGAAAGTTAGTTGGCTTTTTTTTTTTTTTTGGTAATTGATTTGATGATTGTGAAAGAAAAGTTGAAATGATTATAAGTTGGATATGACATTTTATCTTATTGACTATTTTAATCTATTTTATCTTTTAATGAACTATTTTAGCACAACCTTCTTCCCAAATAAGGCCCTAACATAATTATTCTAAGTTTGGTCGGGAAAAATTGTAATTTCTTAACACCAAAAATATGGTCATACTAATTATAATTGTTAAGATTAACAATAAAAGATAAATAAAGATGAAAATATTTATAATTTTAATACAGTTTTCATATAAATTTATAAATTCTTACACACATCCATGCTAATTCCATATATATGTATATAGGTATCTTTTTTATTTTACTAATTTATTTATATAATTAAATAATATAAAAATTGATATTAATGCATTATAATTGGCCGAAACTGGCTAGGCTAGGCTGGGTCGAAATTTCTTACCCTTGACTGGCCGTGAAAACTAGATGGACTCCTTTTCCGGTGCACCAAAAAAAAAGTGAAAACTAAATGGACTCAAAACATTACCCTATCCAAGCCCGCCGAAATACTTATCCCAAGCTATTAAAAGTGACCTTTTACCTAGGAGTTTTATGAAAGTTTCAAAACCTCCGTTGATGTCACTTTTTTTTGGACATCGAATTTTCAGTATACATGGCTACCATTTTGGGTCTCAACATTCAATTCATGAGCCTCTACAATTTTCATTTAGATGATATGCTCAAAAGTGATCTATTTCAGCACTTTATCCATTTCGGCTTAGCAAATTAGCAAATTCAGTGGTTGTTAGGGATTTTTTTTCCCCTTATTTTCTTATGTTTTACAAAAAAAATAAAAATAAAAAATAATATGACAATTTACATGATTTTTGAATTTTTTTGACTAGTCCTCAAATCAGCTATAAATGTTTAAAATAATTGGGGCCCAATTCAAAAAATAAACCCAAAATTATGTGACTTGACATTTCAAAATGGCCTATTTCAGCATCTTTTATCTTCTTTTTTTTTTTTTTTCAATAATAAATCAAGTTTGTACATTTTGAATACTTTCCATTATGCCTTACCAAATAACAAGCATTGGTTTTCTGCTTGTATAAAATAAATAGATAGTATGATTGTCTATGAAATATTTATAAGCATTTATCTCTAGGATCTAAGTACCGAATTCTTCCTAGAATATCTGATCATTCATGGATCGTTAAATTGGTTAAATTGTCAACATGCACAAACATATATATTTGAAATATTTTTTCCGGTTTAAATTAAGAAAATTCAAATTCAAATTTGAAAAATACATTGAAAATGCAAGCCAAGTAGGCCTCAAGACCTCGCAAGTTATGTACATTCAAATTTGCATTATTTATTTATTTTTTTATTTTTCACAAACAACTCTTGGGGATGACCGTGCCGCTGCTGGTTCCATGTGCATTGGCGCAAAATGCAGTTGCTGGTCGATTTTCGAATGTAAGTTGTACATCTTTCATTTGGATTCCTCTGCACGGGACACTCGGACTGCAATTGAATGTCACAGCCACCGGGGTCGATGATGTGCCCTTAATGTTGCTGTATGTCACTTGACTCACTTGCACTCCAGAACTCTGCCATGCATATGCAACAGAATTATGAACATGCAAAATGTACAACCATCACAACAACAAAACAAAAAGTTAAAAGGTACCCTTTTGAGATAGTTTTGTATGATAGGCAGCTATACTGATCCAATCGTGGCAAGTTAATCAATGATGCCATGTTGAAATCATAGTTTACTCTAAATTATAAGTAGAACCAATTTTCTTTCAAAAAACTCGCTACAAGTATTCTATAAATATTATTTAATGTTGAAATTGAGATAAAAGATATCTCGAAAATAATTGAAATAGTTTGAAAAGTACATTAAATACTACATTGCATTCAAGTAAAAAGTATCTCATATATTTTTATTTTTTTGTGACCAAAACCACTTATTAGCAACACCCATTTTCCAATTAGAAAAGTTAGCAAGTCATAAAAATTAGCATAGCCAGAAAATCTTCTTGTGGGAGTTGGTTTTTTGGGTTTTTTTAGTTCAACTTATTATAGTTTTTAGTAAAGTTTTTAAAAATTATTTCAAATTTCTTTACTTTTTAGATTCATCTTGACTAGATGATCTTAAAATAGAAAATTTGAATTTCTTTTGGAAACAGTTTAAAGAAATAAAAAAAATGTCATTTTTTTTTTCTTATTTTCTTACTTTTTCTATATAAAAAAAATTATTTAATTTTTAGGATCATTTTAATCAAGACAGAATAAAAAGGTAAAGAAAACTTTACATAATTTAAATATATATTAAAGAAAAAAAAAAGAAAAGAAGCCAAACTAAAAAAGCCAGTTCTAAAAAAAAAAAACTTAGCCAAATGAAGCCAAGTGAGTACTACAGTTTTATATTTTGTGAGGTGTGACTACATAGATAATAAATCCTATCTATACATAACAATTTTTATTTATAAATTTTTTGAAATTAGAAGGTGATAGTTTTGGAGATTAAAGAGTGGTTACCATAGTAGGACACTGGTTATTAGGGCAATATTCTTGATCGATGATGATAGGGTTACCGACATTCTTCATTCTCACATTTCTAAACTCTATGTCTCTTGCAAATCCATTGCTTGGTCTCGCCCATGTCTTTATGCGCACCCCATTCTGAGTTCCGGTGAAAACAACCCCTGTTACCGTCACATTTTGGACACCGCCTTCAATGAGACCGTTGCCTAGGCTACCTATGCTGTATGATATCACAGCCAATTTTAACCATCAAAATTAATTGTAGTAAGTGAGAAAGTTCACAAACATATATAACACAGTTTAGCTAACTCATCTGTTTTTTTCATGTTTTTTTTCCCCAACTAATGGGAGCTTTTGTTAATAATTCAGTCTGTAAGTTCCATGTTTGATAAGGTATGTGAAACAAAATATATTCTATGATTGATTATAAGGGTAAATTACATTTGAAATGGTGTTTATTTTTTAATTGATTTTATCAGTTTCCCCTTAGTTGATTTGTGGAATGACTAAAAAAAACAAACATTTTCATTTACAGAGTAATTAAACTCGAAAATAATTGTTTCAAAATTTGAAAAGGCTATTCTTAATTGGTTTACTGTGTGTTTCACATATTTAATATATATATATATATATAGATTTTAGTAAATAGTTTCATTAAAAAAAATGTTATTGTTTCATTTTTTTTGTTTTCAATGAAACTATTTAAAATATATATATATATATATATATAGATTTTAGTAAATAGTTTCATTAAAAAAAAATGTTATTGTTTCATTTTTTTGTTTTCAATGAAACTAGTTTTCCAGGTTGAGAGAAAAGAAAATTAATTTTTGTTGTGTTTATAGAACTTTAAAAATAAAAAAGATGGGCTTTCTTTAGAAAACACTCGAAATTTTTATAGCATCATTAATTTTGGAGGGTTGTTGGTGATGCACTTATATTTTTTGAATAATGTTTGATCTATCGAATTTTACTCTATCTGAATTATCCGAATAAATATCTTACATGTTTGGGCGAAGCAAAATTCGGTTGTACTGTATTTTTTTAGTGTAGTAAGGTTAATCTCTATTTATTGGAATGAATGAAAGGTAAAGTGGGAATTTAAAAAAAAAAAAAATTATAATTACCACACAGAAGAGAAATCCAAAACATAGGTTATTTAAAAAACTTTATCGATAATAGTCTTAAACTATAGAAAAAGTCAGTGTAGTTTATCATAATTAAAGCAATTGAATATTCATTTTAGATCATGAGATCCATCTTAATCAATCCCAATGCATGTTTAGTTAATGAAGTAACTTTGTTTAACAAAGATCAAGTACATAAATATCAAGTCAACCAAATGTATTAAAGTATTAAATTAAAAAAGAAAAGAAAAAGTAATCAACCTGATGCCATGGCCGGGGCCGCAGGCAATGCGCTGGATCCAGACGTTGGTGGTGGCCGGTCCAATGGATATGCAATCGTCTCCGGTTCTGAATGCACTCCGAGTTATGGTAACTCCGGTCGACGACTCCACGTGTATCCCATCGGTGTTAAGACTACTAGTCGATGCTCTAACATTTAGATTTTGAATATTCACGTTATTACACTGGGCTATCGCTACGTGAATTACCTGACTGTTGATTGATCTTAACCCGTTGATCTCCACATTGTTTGATGCAAGGAACGTTATTGACTGCATTGCATTCACACACACATGGTTGGATCATCCTTATAATTCTAATTATATCAATTTTGTCTTTTAATTTTTTACATTGTATTGATTTAGTCAAATTGATTAATTCATTATCAATTTTGTCTTTTCATTTTTTACATTGTATTGATTTAGTCAAATTGATTAATTCGTTAAGTAATTAGACATAAATCAATGACATAATGTTTCATTCAAATGTGAATGCGTGCAGTATTTTAAATTGGATGTTTTTACTTATTGATTTTAGTTCAATTTCTACTTCAATTACAAATTGACATAATATGAAAATTTTAAAGATAAATTTAATATAATTAGATCTATAAAGATCGAATTGATACAAATTAGTTTTTTTTGGGACAAATTATACTACTAATCCCTATAATTTGAAGCTTGTGTCACTTTGGTACATGACTTTTCAATTGTGACACATTTTATTCTAAATTTTAAATTTTATTCCAAATAAAGACAATTGAAGATATCATTGCTCAATTTTTAGAACAAAATCGTCAATTTAATAAAATATAAACTAATTTGACAAAATAAATGTCAAAAAATATTTTTAAATTTTTAAAAATTATTTCTACCCACCAAAGATAAAATTATGTAAAATTGAAAATTTTTTTACGCATTTATTTATTTTACCAAATTAGTTTTTATTATATATTTGGATGATAATTCTGAGTGGTTGTTAGGTTTTTAATATGTAATCAATATATTTAATATATGAAATATTTTTAGTTTTAAATTTTTTGATTTAATGTATTGGCTTAATAGTGATACTAAAGTTATTGCCATATTTAACTTTTGGAAAAATAGAAACTAATTTAATGAAAATAAAAACAATCACTCATTACATGATCATCATCCAAATATATAATAAAAATTAATTTGATAAAATAAATAAATAAATAAATGAGTAAAAGATTTATCAATTTTACATAATTTTATCTTTAATAGGTAGAAATAATTTTTAAAAATTCAAAAATATTTTTTTGACATTTATTTTTGTCAAATTAGTTTATATTTTTATCAAATTGATGACTTTGCCCTTGAAATTGAATAATGATACCTTCAATTGTTCTTATTTGGAACAAGATTTAAAATTCATGATCAAATGTATCACAATTGAAAAGTTAGGGACCAAAGTGATACAAGCTCTAAATTATAGGAACCGTCAATGTAATTTTATCTTTTTTTTGAGTTATATGTAAAAAAAACAAAAAAATGCATTGTAAGATATAAAACTCAAAAAAGTTAAAGAACATGTAAACGGATCACAAAATTGAATTTTTACATGTGTTGTGAGTGTTATGTTTGATTTTGGAGTAATGTTAGAGAGACAAAAAATTTTATCAAATGAATGACCAAACCTCTTACATGTGTTGTGAGTGTTATGTTTGGTCATTCATTTGGTAAAAAATTTGGAACCTATAGCATTTTTCTTGATTTTGTAATTAATTTATGTGAAAATAGAAGAACTGAATTGAATAATGCTAGCTAGAAGTGTAGGACATACCCTAGCTCCAGCAGGGCAAGGACCTGAGGTTTTTCGACAAGCCCAAAAGCCCGCACCCCTTGCATCAATGGTTCCACCATGGACTGAAACCCAAGAGACCTGTTTGAAATAAATCCAGTTCCCTGTATTTCCAATCACATGGTAGTCCCATGGAGCTACCAGAGTTCCATCAATCTCAAACACTATCCTGTTCCTGCACGGACCGTTAAATGTAACCGACCTTATCAAAAATGTCCCCCGGGGAACGTACACCATGGCCGGTCTGGCAGAGCTGCACGCCGCCATCCAGGCCCGGAGGAAGGGTTGGGTCGAGTCGGTTCGACCGTCAGGTTTGGCACCGAAACTGACTACATTGTAGAATGCTAAGGAAGACGAGATGGTAACTGATATGCATGAGAGAAGGGCAATGCTAGACAATAGTGTTATTGCTACTAGCTTATTAGCCATGTCACTCTATCTCTCGTGAGAAATGATCTAGAGAGAGATTGGTCGCTGATGGGAAAAAGTTGAAAGAAGATTCAAGTTATATATAGTGTAGTGTGAAGAATGCATGGCTTCATTATTATCATTAAGGAAAATATTTGTTAATAAGAAATTAAAAAAATATTTTAATTGTACCCACAATAATATAGGATTATATGTATCAATTTTTAATTTATTATATTGATAGTGTTACATATACTAATTAGTGTACTAATTGATAATGTGATATAATTTAAGATGTTTTTAGTATATATGATGTGATTAATAAGTGAAGTCAATAACAATATCATAACTAATATTGATATATTAATTAATATATTAATTGATACATATAGCTTATTAGCAATTTCTCTTTATCTCTCGTGAGAAATGATCTAGAGAGAGATTGGTTGGTGATGGGAAAAAGTTGAAAGAAGATTCAAGTTATATAGTGTAGTGTGAAGAATGCGTGGCTTCATTATTATGATTAAGGAAAATATTTGTTAATAAAAAATAAAAAAATACTTTAATTGTACCCATAATAATATAGGATTATATGTATCAATTTTTAATTTATTATATCGGTAGTGATACATATACTAATTAGTGTACTAATTGGTGTACTAATTGATGATGTGATATAATTTAAGAGATTTTTAGTACTTGTAATATGATTGTACGAGTGCAGAATAATCTTCTCGTATAATCTTGTTGATCAAGTTTGAGCATCTCCAAACGTCGTTACTTTATTCCCTTAAAACACAAACGTGAGCTAGCCGGTGGGTGTGTGCCGGATACCTCCCCGATGCCTAAGTCAGCAAAATAGACAAAAAACTCTCTGTATTCGAGAATCAAAGTTTCGTTTCTTGTACATAGGTTATGTTGAGAGCTTTTATAGTTTTTGCCTAGCACAATCCTAGTAGGACTCTTACTCCTCAATGTAGAATCCTCTTATGAATCACACTTGCAAAAGATAATACTTATCCTTTTACACCCTTACCACTGCTTTAACCAAGTGAAATGATTTTAGGTCGGTAGTATGATAAAACGACTGAGCTAATATTGCCATGCTTAAGCGATAGATTTGACCGAGCTTTACCTAGCTCGGATCTCCTCTTCATTGCTTGTACCTCGGTTAGGCACACTCTAACTGGGCTATTTACTTAAGACCGAGCTAACTATGCCCCAATGGCGACCTTAGCTCGACGCTATTATGCGTGATTTGTAGCTCGATCTCAACTTTGCCTGGGCCCAACTCATTAGCTCTGAGACCGAGCTATATTAACCCTTACCTCGGTCTATTGTGCGGCCCAACTTACAAAGAAGGCCTTCCCTTTGCTCGGCCCAATTTACTTATAAATTACCCTCTCAGTGATTAATGAGTGTGATCAATAATAATGTCATAACTAATATTGATATAATAGTTAATATACTAATTAATACATATAGTATTATTCTTATTATATACTTAATAAAATAAAACTTAACTTTATTATGATATCATTCTTGATGAAAATATAAATATAAAAATGTATGTAATTAATTGTATGGTTTTAGTTGATATGGAAGTCAATTAGTAGACGTTACCCTCATGTTGCGGATCGGACATGTATGTTGGCATTACGACATCACATGTGTTCTTGGGATGGGAGTAACATTAAGATATTAGACTATTAATATTTAAGTTTAAAAATTAGATTTATTCTTTAAATCTAATAATATATTAAGAAGATAATTGATTGACAATTAAATATTTTTTAATTATTAATCAACCATCTTTTTGACACATCATTAAATTTAAAAAGTAATTTATATATATCATTTTTTAAGATATGAATCTTGGGATCGTAAGTTTCATTTTTCTTGGGGTCAACCATTCGGGGTATAGCACATACAGTTAAAAAGATGAACCTTTCAGGCTTGAACGAATCATATCAAGTGTCGGGAATGTGAATGTGAATTCGAATTCTTGACTATGTGTGAATCTATGACTTGCCATTACATAGTTGAGTAGTCCTACTGTATAGTAGTACCTAAAGATGACCTTTGCGATCTTTGCTCCTTAGAATCTATTGCCAGAGGTCACCCCTCTATGGTTAAGCCATTTTTTAGTTATGATAAAAATGATAGAAAGTGAAGGAAATAGAAAAAAATAATTTTTTTCTAAATTTGTTTATCTTGAAAGTGATGGAAGTTATAAGAAAATTAATTTTTTTGTACAACTCATAATAGTATGATAACTAAGCTTCTAATTTATTATAAGAAATACAAGAAAATAGAAGAATATTTAAATTTGTTATAAAAGTAATTACTTCTAATTAATTAAAATTCCTATTTTCTTGTAAAATTCTTATCAAAATCAAATTCATACAAGAAAATATATTTTATTTTCTTTTTTGTTTTCTTTTATTTCACTTTCTACCATTTTCACTTTTCATCAATTATTTTTTTCTAATCAAACAAAGCCCTAGGCTGTAATGAGGAAAAGTTTTGGCGTTTAGTTGATGTAGTATTGGCTACTCCTTTAATTGTAATTTAACTTTACCAACAAACTAACAGAATACAATCTTGGCGCAAAAAAAAAAAGAATATATATATTATATGTTTGTTGTTTTGGTAAATAAAAAAAAAAATTATTGAAAGCTTTTTTTATAGAATTTTTTTTTCAAAAAAAAATATTTTTCGTAAAACATATTTTTTTTATATTTGGTTGCATATTTCAAATTCATGTATTAATAGTTGTATTAATAGTGGTGATAATAATGAGTTTAAAAGTAAAAATATATTTTTTAACGCTTCGTTTCTCATTTTTTAAAAGTAAAAATATATTTTTTGTTCAAATAATCTTATTTTTTTATTAATCATAAAAATATTATTAGTTGATTTTCATTTTTTATTATACTAAAATACCGTAAACGAAGAACATATCATGACTTATAATTTTAAAAATACTAACGTGTGTGTTTGGTTTGACTTTTTTGGATTAAATTTTTTGAAAATTAAGTTTTTTGCTTTTTGTATTTTTTTTTATTTTTAGTGAATATTTCTAAAATTTTAAGAATTTTTTTTTTTTTTTTTTTTTTTACTTTTTTAGATGCATCTTACTTAGATGTATCTAAAAAGTATAAAAATTGTGAAAAATATTTTTAAAAAATGTGAAAAAATATTTGTTAATAAAAAATAAAAAAAATATTTAATTGTACCCACAATAATATATGATTTTATGTATTAATTTTTAATTTATTATATCGGTAGTGTTACATGCACTAATTAGTGTACCAATTGATGATGTGATAAAATTTAAGAGGTTTTTAGTATTTGTAATGTAATTAATGAGCGGGGTCAATAATAATGTCATAACTAATATTAATATTTTAATTAATACACTAATTGATACATATAGTATTTTTTCTTATTATATCCTTAATGATATAAAACTTAACTTTATTGTCATATCGTTCTAGGTGAAAATATAAATATAAAAATGTAAGTATGTAACAATACTCTATTATTAATTGTATTGCAATAACCTGATCCTCTCATATGCTTAAATCTCTCAGTAGATGTGTGATTATATGTGTGTTTATGTGTTTGACATGAAATTTCATGTTTTAATGTGTGAATTATATGATTATGAAATCACATCTGTCGATTATGAGAAAATCTGTTGAAATTACGACCATTGGACTGTAAATTGAAAGCCTTAGATGCGCGATAAACCGAAATTGACTTTACAGTTATGATTAGCATGATTTTTAGACCATAATATGAAGTTTTGTAAAAATTTAATTCGTAATGAATTAAATTTATTTAATTTGGTTATAGGTCTTAATTAAACTATTTGGACCCCAAAACTCAAGGCTTGTAGATAAGAGCTACATATATGAGCTTAGGTTAGCACTTAGACATATCTCCTGGAGAAAGAGAGAGAGAAGAAGAGAAAGGAGAGAAAGAGGAGAAAACTCAACCTAAGTGGAAGGATTGAAGGAAATTGAAGAATAAGTCAAGGATTGACTCAAGGTGAACTCAAATACTCTGAACCTCTCCTCAATTGATTAGAATCAAGCCTTAGAATGTAGTTTTTAAACCCATAGAAGTTAGGGTTTATGAGTTACTTCCATGGTTGAATTTATTTCATGAAATTGAACATATAATTTTTGGATTTAGTTAAATAAAAGGTTGATCCTTGGGTTTTGAGTTGTTTTCAGTAAGATTGAGATAAATTACCTTATAATCTTTAGTTTTCACATACTTTGAGCTCATTTATGTATATGTTTGTATATGTATAGCTATGTTGTTTTGATTAACCATGGAAAGATGAAAAAGTGGAAGAAATGTAGCAATTTGTATTGTGTATGTACAATTAAAATGAGCTATGATTTAATTGAGCTTGATGTTCATGTGTATTATCATTATATATTATGTTTTTGAAATGGAACTTGCTTGAATTAGGGCCTTGAAATACCTTTGGAAAGCTAAAATTGTTGAAATTTGGACTGCTCAAACAGAGCCCAGGACCGCACGTACGGGGCTCATGGCCGGACGTACGGGATGCACAGCCGCACGTGCGAAAAATAGGAGAGGCAAGTGTTGGCTTCTGAAGTAAATGCACATGTGGGGCTGTACGTGCGGCACGCCTATCCGCACATGCGATGAGGGACCTTCGCACATACGAGAAAAGAGGGAAAAATTTGTTGCTTTCTGATACCCTTGTTGACCTTCGGAACCTGTTAATCTGTATATTTTATACCCCTGGAATACATAAAAATGAATAGAAAATGAACGAAACGGAAAAAAGAATTACTTATCAGTTTATGTATGGGATGTGTAGGTCATTTTCCAGAAGGGACTACTGCACGATCAGATCACTGTGAGTAATAGTAGTGTAAAGATATACTCACTTGTATTTATTTTGATACGTTAATGCGCGATTCTCTAAAGTTATGTTATTTGAATGAATAAGCTACAAGAATTGAAATATGGAATGTGGATACGAGATGAGACTTATTTATGGTATAATATATTAGGC